TGCCGGCTCGGCTGTGGAGAGGAGGCTGTCGGCGGAGCTGCGGGCCGGCCCGCCTTGGTAGCGGCGCGTCCTTAGGCCGCGCGGCCGTTCCTCACGGCCTGAGGGCTGTGGGCGCCTTTTTCTTTTGCTGTGGGAATAACACCTGCGGCACGGAGCTGAAGTGTGCCAGTGGGCCTCGGGTTGAAATCGCCTGAAATTGCCTTATTTTTAAATCTTTATTAACCCTCTCTGCAACCCGGCTACACCAGTGCTTGTGGGCCAGGCCCTTAAAGCAAAACCCCACAGCCTGTTGGTAAAACGAGGAGGGTGTCTCAGCCCATCTTTTTGGGGTTTTGGATTAAATTTAGAACTTTTTAAAGTGCGGAAACAACGTTTGCCTCATTAAATAAATGTTCTTATTTTAACAGTCGTTACTGGCTCTGACAGTGACCGAAGTGAAACAATATGTTAATATCACAGCTGACTTCCCCGTTACTGAAGGCTTCACGAATTGCAGGTAAACAAATGTGGTGTGATGTAGTTTTCTCCTTTATTTTTTTTTTTTTTTTCCTGGGCTAGTTAGGCTCCCAGGAATTTCTTCACCAGCAGCAGTGGAAGAGTGGTGAGGCTGTTGATTTAGTAGTTATCAACTGTTATTATGTTTTACTCTGTCAGTATTGTGTAGTCTGGTTTGACCTCTTTTAAGCTTAGGAGATTCCTTAGCAGCAGAAAAGTGTAGTACATTGAACAGTTATTAGCCATTCCCAATTGTACTTACACAATAAAATACATAATTTTAGTAGATGGCATTACAGCAACATGATTAAATTAAAATTTAAAGATACGTTCTTGCTTCCATGGTGGGAATATAACTTTTGTAAACAGCTTCCTTTTTAGATCATTCTGGCCACAGTTGTCTGGTGGTTTGAAAGCTGGGCAGAGCTTTTCTTAAGGTACTGTTTGAAAATTCTGCCTTTTAAGTGAAATTCTTTTCTTTTCAAAGGCCGCCTTTTGCCAAGGTCAGTGTCTTCCTTTCTTTGCCATCATTCTACATCTGCACGCTATAGCACGCAGCCACCTAACAAGAGTGGAGCCCAGCCTCAGCGGTGGTATGCTCTGGACCCTGAACTGGAAGAGATGCTGATCCCCAGAAAACTTTCCATCAGCCCCTTAGAAAGCTGGCTGACAGTTAGATACTCCCTCCCTAAAGCAGAAGTCGTTAATGCTGAGGAAGAAGTGGGCTATGAACCCCTCCAGCAGTATGACTGTCCCCCATCTGATGAAGGAGCTGATGTGGAGGAAGGAGATGGAACACTTAGCAACAAGATTCAGTGTAAGAACGTTCTGAAGATTCGCAGAAGGAAAATGAATCGGCACAAGTTCAAAAAGCTGCTGAAGCGGAGGAAGTTTATACGGAGGACGATAAAGGAAGGTCGCAAGAAGAAACGTCAGGTATGCTCAGGGTAGAGAGAACTTCTTGACATAGAAGTGTCCACTTCTCAAACTGCCTCTGTTCAGGTATCAGATTATGTTTTTAGATGGAATTGATTTGGGGAAACTTGGAGAGCCTTAATGAATTCAGTATTTACTGGTTCAGTAGCTTTTTCTGTTTTGTGTGTGACCTGTACATCTTCAGAACTTGGAATTTAGAAAATTTCTGTGGCTGTAAACGTATATGTGTGGTAGTTACTAGATGTAATTTTTGTTGTATGATCAGTAACTTAAAAATATATGGCTTATGGAGTATTTTAGCATTTGTGCTGAAGATTAAATCATGTGTCTGTGTTCTGTCAGGGAGACGTTTTCATTTCTTCCCTCAAGTTCTTCCTCTTGTCTTTTTCTGCACAGAAGCCTTTTAGTTCCCCTGATAGAAGGGGTGAGGGAAGCCATGGGCCTTCATTCAAATTGTAGATGTTTTCATTCAACACTGCTTTCCAATAGTCCCTTAGGTTTGCAGTGATGTAGTTTAATTCATTCGCTGGTAATTTTCACCTTGCCTAGGTGCAAATTGGGGTTAATTGTAATTCTGTTTCTTTGAGTTTGTAGGAAGCAGTGTTGAAGGCTTTATGATGAGGAAATCTTAATTTTCTTACAGTTTTGTTTTCCACCTTCTCAGTTTTCCTCACACAGGACTCTTAAAATAATGCTACCAAGATCCTTGTGCATTTTAGTATATTTTCTTTCCTTTGTATGTGTTGTACCTAGATTCTCCTTGGCACATGTGGGCAGCGGCTGAATACTTGAGTGTTGCTTCTGAGTTATGTTACTTTTTTTTTTTTTTTTTTTTTTTTTTTTTTTTTTTTTTTTCCTTTTAGATAAAATTTGAGAAAGATTTGGAGCGCATCTGGAAAAGAGCTGGTTTGAAAAATCCTCCTGCGGGATGGCGAACACCCCCGATATTTCTGAAAAGCTCAAAGCGATAAAAACACTTGTAATGAGTTTTAACCTGTAATTGTAATTAAAAAATATTTAAGTACGCGGATTGCTTTTAACCTTTTTCTGAGTGTGATGAAATTAGTAGGAGGAAATTTTCAGTCTTGGTGAGCAGTTTTCCAAGGGTAAGATGTTATACCTGACAGCGATGTGCTTTTCCTCCTCCAAAGAATGGTGTGAGCCCTTTGTATAGTGACTCGGCCCTGCTGTGTGCGGTGCTGTGCTGCTGCCCCCAGCTGTCTGGCTTAGACTAGAGCTGAATTTCTGAAGTTGCTGTTTAAGGTTAGACTGAACCATGTACTGTAAGAAAAATCGGTGGTGGGAGATGGGATAACTGAAAGAATTCTTCTGGTTGCAAGTCTATAGAAAACACAAGTATTTTGAAAAGTTCTTTTCAAAATCTCATTCTTTCTTGGCCTTATTATAAAAGGACTGGTGTTGAATAAGAGTTATTGCGAGATACGAATTGAAGCAGAAGAGTTGTTGTGAAATAGGAATTGCATCAGAATTCTACAGAATATATCTACAGAAGCTTTAATTTTCACTTCTCTGAAGCCGTGGTGTCATGTGGCTTTAAGGATGTATGAGCATCCTTAAAAAGCATGTTTATTTGTTCTGTTCTGTGCTAATAAAAATTGTTATTTTTTTCTATGATTGACCCTGTCATACAGAACATCCAGATACTGGTATTAGTAAAAGTTCAGAACTAATTGTTCATTAACTACAGAACCTGTTTTGTGCCTGAGACAACCTTGTAATCAGCTGGTTTTACATTGAAGAGAGTCATGAAAGCTGTGAAAAATACAAATACTTATTTTAAACCCTGACAGAGGACTTTATGTCTGGGTTCTGTTTTGGGGTCCGCTTCAGATTTTTCTGCCTGAGGCAGTTAACTTCTGTGCGATGTCGTTCTTCCCTGTGTATTCCAGCAGATAGATGGGATGGAGAAAAAGGTGGGAAAAAGAATGAGCTCTCTTAGGCTCGTCGTTCTACCAGAAAATGCGTTCCCCTCTATCTGCCAGGAGCAGGACGCTTGACTAAACTGAAAGGGAAGGAAAAAAATCATCTGTGGAACTCATTGCTACGAGGTACAGTGTCATGTTGCTGCAGGAGGGACAGGTGACTCCTCACACACCGTGAACATTGTGCCAGGGTCTGTGTGTGGCTCTGCTGCTCTCGTCACCAGATGGCAGTAAATTCAAAGCCTCTGGAACTTCTCAGCCATTAATGTAGAAGCTAGCTGGATCTTCATGTTGGGATTTTAAGGAAAGGGTACACTCACATTTAAAAGTTGATTAATCTTGCGAGAGAATTGTTGGCATTCTGAGAACTGTATTGAATTCCTGTAGAAGCATGTGGTTATCACGTTTTTATAGTTATTTTTTCCAAACCAGATGTTAACAGTAGGCAACTTTGATCAAATTAAAAAGATGTTCTGTCTTTTCGTGCTTTAAATAGGCAGCAGTTGCTTTTAACTGAGACCAGTAGGACTCTTTCATTTGGCCCACTGTCAGGATTTCAGCAAAGAGGAGGGTGTCTAGCCATGAGCCTTACTCTCTGAGTAAGAGAAGATTGAGTTAATTCTGGCTTACAAGTTTGTTAAATATGCAGAGTGCATCTAGGCGTTTCTAAAATATCAATCCACATTCCCTGTGCAAAGATGCATAGATAAAAGGCTGGAGCCTGAGAGGATTAGCACCTTTGAAGCCAGGTCTGTGTCTTTTTCCCCAGTCACAGTTGTTTTAAGATCCTTTATGCCAGCATTGTTGTTCTGTCAGCCCTATAGATTCTCTTACTGACTCTTAGTCCAAGAAAAATGATGATCAGTTTGCACATTTCCAGGAGATTGCTGGCTGCTGAAGAGTTGGGATGCCTTTGGAATTACACAGAACAAAAGAGTTTTAACAAAGACAGCAGTAGCATGCCCTGTCCACTTAGCAGTGCTGTACCTCTGATTCCAGTTTTGATGTTTATTCTTTCTTGATTTTGTCGGTCTTAATCCTACAACTTGTATCTTTGTTCTCTGTTGTAGTCTCTGAATCTACTAACTACCTAATGGTATGCTGTCCATTTTTATCCACTAAGGTTTAGCTTGGTCTTACCTCTGTAGTTTGACATAAAACCTCTTGGGAAGCATCATGTAGATCACAAACTTGTCCATTGCACTCACATCTGCTGGAGTCATGCAGGCAGAGAACTTTGTATGCCATTTTCCTGGATCAGCACCACCACCTTGCTCTAACTTGTTTTTATATTGGGATAGTAACTAGAAAAGAGATTTACTGAAATAGTGGGAATTGCAAAACATAATCATTCAGTACCTCGTGATGGTCCAATGCAAGTGAGCTCTTGTACCATGGTGTATTATATTAGGGTATTTATGTGGTGAATTTCAACTCTCCATGGAGTAAAGTAGCTTATTAAATGGTATGCCCTCTAAGTAGTAGTCCAAATTGTAGTCTGCCGAGGGTAGTTCTTACTTTTACATCTATTAGGCATAATTACACAACCATGTATAGAAGTCTGGAACTACTGTGTAATTTACAGGTGTCTGTAAACCATCCATGGCACTTACTGCCAGTATTAGTCACAGAAATGCTCCATTCCTTTGTGCTGAAGGACCTCAAAGCACATCTCAGAATTTGTATTTTCTTTGTGGCAGATAGTGCAAAGACTCTATCTTACGTGGCACTAATCAAATACATACCAGGGCTGTATCAACTTGCTTTCACTCTCTTGACCACAGGATGCAATTTTGAACTGTCCCTCACCTTGCTAAACAGAGAATCAGATAGATGAAAGCTGCACCTATTTTTCTGTAGGGGGAGCACGAGTATGTAATACGCTATTCACAAAGCTTTATTGTGAGTTGCTGTTCCTCTCCCAAATCCGTGCATTCCAACGTAGCTGCACACTTGGAAAATGTATATGTGTATATGTAGCTGTGGCAGAAAAAAAAAAAAGGCTCTGAACAGGAAAGGTTTGACTTTTATAATTCTCAAAATATTTAAGACTGGAAGATTTCTCCTTTGTCTCGTTATTCTGCTGTTCTGAGAGAGAGGAAATGGTTGAAAGTCATCAGGAGCTTGCTAGATGAGTTCTTGCTCTTTATTACAGAGACTGGAGATGTCCTGTGGGATGGTGATTTTATGTTTGAAACTCCCTGACAGTCATTGGCCTGGAAAGGTCCCTCAAAATTGGAATATAAACCCAATTCCACTCATGCTTACACTCCTGATTCTTGGATTGCAGTCACTTAAATACAGACAGAGAGCTCGGATAGCTGAACAGAACATCAAGCCTGGTAGTTTTATCACAGCGATCCGGTTTGTGCTGAAATGAGTTGGCTCTGAAGCAGGAAGTCAGCTGACTCAGAAGGGATGAAAGTTCTGCGTTTTGTTTCTCTCAGCCGAAGCATCACATTGCAAACTCAGAGGCTGTTACTCTTTTTGGAAGGGTCAGACCCCAGCAACGTAGTGATAATGGGCTTCAGAGATAGAAATGGTATTTCTGTCCCATCTTACATCTGCCCCAGCAAGTAATGGCTGCTGGAAAACTTGAGATTTTACTTGTCTCCTTGACCTGGATAGCAATGTTTCTTCCTAGGGTGGGAATTAAATGCATTTTTAGGAGTCTTCTCTCTAAGAATGCATTGCATCAGTATGGATTGTTGAAGTTTTTTAGAGGCTTCTGGACATAACAGTTCTTTCATCCAGACAAATGAATCCAATAAAACTTACAAATAACTTGCAGCAGAGAATTGGGCCTGACTGTATATGGGCAAGGGAGCAATGTGAAAGAACTGCTTGCTGCAGCTTTTCCTCAACTACCGTGTTGTATAACACAATCCAAGAGAGGTTTGACTGGCACAGGAGTGGAAAAGTCTGGATCAACTGTACTTTGCGTAGCTAGATGATTGTTTAGTGGTCCGCAGTGGCAGAGATGAGGTGTTAGCAGTGACAAGAGATTTTTAGAAATAACGCTGAAGCAGGAGATCTGTGATACTGATGGGGAGTAGAAGATTTATTTCAATTACCTTTTTATAAAGAAAACAACTGCACGATTTCAGTGCAATTGGGGAAGCCGAGCAGGTTGGTTCCTTTGGTAACAGGATTGAACCCCAAATTTGTGGAAAGTAGAAACATTTAAAATGTATGTGAATTTGCAGCAGCTTAGCCATTTGGCTTAACCTTTTCAGGCACCAGCAGCAGTTAACTACAGCACCTCTGATGGTCTGGAGTCTACAGAAGAGATTTTTGGCTCTATACGGCAGCCGTGTGCTCCAGTTCTCCACAGGAACAGGTTCCTTGGTAATTGTCTGCTGTAGTTTTGGCTCACTTCAAATTAATTCTGTTCAACTGTGAGTTTGTCATAGGAAAAGGGAAAGGCCAGCAGTCAATACAAGATGTTCCTTTCCTTTGGAAATCTTGTGCTTACCCTAGGAAGCATGTTGGATAGTCTGCTAGCTGTTAAAGCAGCCCTGAGGCTGTGCAGGCAATGAGTCTGAGACATGGATGCCCTCTCCGTGCTGTCCTTGGCACGGACAGAGGACAGTTTGCTGGCTGTCCTGGAAGGAGTCATGTGGAAAGGAAATGGAGTGGAATGTAATGATGGCTTCCCCAGCTCCTGAGACCAAACCTGAAGCTGATTCAAACCAGGAGCTGCCTAGGTTGTAAAAAGACTGAAGACTTCATGTTGAAGATGTCTGATCTGAATCGAGGCTGTTTGTAGACATGCAAAAGGCTGAGTATCCTTAAATCCTAAACCGTGAGGAGCCTGGAAGAAAAGTTACGTTGGTACTACCCAGATTTTGTTAGGCTGATGGAGCGTCACCTTGAAAGGATCCAGACTGAAAGAGTTTATTCACAGCGTTTTCAGCTGCGATCTCATGGGAGCAGGCACGTGTGTGTTGAAGTGCTGAGGACAGGCTGTGGGATGCTCAGTAAACCTGGCTGCACACAACAGTAGCAGCAAACGTAGAGAGAAATATTCTTCATGTTACCGTTGTATTGGCTCCTGATAGGATGTTCTCTTTTTTTTTTTTTTGAG